AAATTTTAAATTTTCTTTAAAATCATATCTTTAAAGGGCATAAGGCCTATCACTTCATCGCGTTCGGCTGGTCTCGAAAGTCAAGTCCCCGCTCTCGGCGCTCTCTCCTGGTCCTGGACACTGAAACGGGTAGACGTGGTATTGTCGACCCCAGTGGCGGCGATATCCTAATTCGCTGACTCTAACAATAGCATAAATAATATCTATACCAAAAAAAGTTAAAAGGCTTGATTTAAAAAAGATGACATATCTCTGCGTATACCTACCTCTACTGTTGTGATATTGGTACTTGATTTTATAATATCTTCAATTATTTACTAATTATTTAATATTTATTTTATCGGAGCGAATTTATAATGAGAAATAAAACAATAAAAGGTTGTATTATAATATAACTGACTTTATTTCGGTATATTCCACAAGAAGGTAAACTCAATATTAATACAAAAAACGGCTATCGCCAAACATTGACATTAATACAGGGTGATACGCATCAAATATTTATTCCAATATATTACAGATTTCAAGAACATTTTAATAATAAATTTATATAAATATTTTGTTTTATTTGAAATTTTCTTGTCTCGATTGAGATTTTACTATAGCCTCAATTTCAGCCTCTCTGTATTACATTACACAATTAACAATATAGTGTGTCCACGGATGGACTTAATTATACTTATAAAAATATTTATTTTAAATTAAAAAAAAGTTATTTTTCATAATTTTTCAATGTGAATCGAATTTATTTAACAAACAAAAGAAATAATGAAAAATTACTTTTTTAATTTAAAATAAATATTTTCACAAGTATATTTAAGTTTATCCGTGGAGACACTATATAGTGCTGTAGAACATCTATAGAACGTTTCAGATCAACTTTCGGGGTAAATACCGTAAAAGTGCTAGTGAGATGTTTTCAGAACTTCACTTTGTAACCTCTGTGAGATGTGCTATAAAAGTCTTTTCGTTGCGGACATTGGGCGGTTGCAAGGATATTAGGGTTACATTAAAAGTACATTGCATGCAAACTTAAAGAGCCTAAAATTGCAGCTTATTAACGTAGATGGGATGTTTTGGTGCTAGCTGGGAAAGTTCCTTTATTAGCGTTACGCTTCCCACTTTTATTATAAATACAGCTTTTTACAACATATCTGGCATTTTCAACGTTAATTTCAAAAATTTAAGTCACTAAAATAATAAATTAATTCTCGTTGACACATTAAATTTGGACGAACAACACTCTGACATGTAACGTCCTCAACTGTGATTGGTCCGTGTACAATCTAAGGTTTCAAATCACAAGTGTGATATAGGGCAGTTTACAAAGTAATTATTTGTGATTATTCATAAATAGCTATTAGATTTGCATATCTTTCCACGATTATAAAAAAAAATGCTAAAAGGTTTAATATTTCATCTTTCAGAACGAATTCAAATTTTAAGTAAACACATTCAAAGAAAATTCTGCTAGTGCATCGGATACTCCTATAATTTAATTTGTCTAAAATGAAAATGTGTCTGCACGTAAATCTTTTCATTTCTTTCGGTCGGGGATTCTAAAGAGAAGTTTTTTTACTTGCGATATAAATAAATGTTTTTATAAGACTCAAGACTCAAGTGGACATTTATTCATTTATGATGAATAACATTACAAATAATATCTTTCCTCTACGAACAAGACTTAGAAAATTCAATAGTAAATATTTATTATTTAAATGATTTATATTGACACTTTTGCTAGGTACCGTCGCGCGTCGTACGGGTATATATGAAACAGGCGGGTTATATGACACGATTGGGCATATTTTTTAATTTCGCGGTAAATACATGTAAAGTTAGCAACACGTTACTAACGTTACCAGAAATAAGGGAGATAAAGATAGGAAACGCCCATAAGAAGCCAATGCTTAATAACGACCAGTTTTATCCACATACTTTGATTCACATACTTTGATTTTCTTTTACTATACGGAGAATGGTCGCACTGCGCAGCTTTCTGAGTGCCTTTTAAAAGGAGAGAAAACTCCGCCATTTTGATCCCTTATTACGTGTTGCCTACATCTTGGCCCAATATTTTTAATAGGTACGTTTTAATCATCCGCTTCTGCTTCGAAATTGTCGGTTTTCTTGTTTTAATCTGACTGGTTAAAACGACTAAACCGACAATACCGGAAGCAGAAGCGGATTATTAAAACGCACCTATTTTGCTTGCTGCTGTCAGTGTCAGTAAATATTATTTTTGGAGTCACAGTTTATTGCTAAAGAATCAGTTAGCTCACTCGGACCAGTTGAAAATTCCAAAATAATATCCACTCCAGGGATACAAATTCAGGATGCGCAGAAGACTGTTGTTTTATTATAGGCGGTTGTCATATATTGTATTATCCGAGTTGCGCAATGTATAAACTGGAACATGGAGATCAAAAGTGCCGACGCAGAGTGAGCGAACTGATTCTTTAGCTATAAACTGTGGTAAGCATCAAAATGGCCGCGCCCTATGTTGGGCGTGTCGGACCTCTCTCTTGCACCGTATAGTAATCAAAACATATACTTTGATTACTATACGGTATATGAGAGAGATCCGACACGCCCAACATAGGGCGCGGCCATTTGGATTGCCTGGACGCATATTCGGATGTAACAGGCAAGATGTCCATTCGGCTATGTCGAACGTTTCTTCATATGTGACGTGCACGATAGCATTTAGTCGGACGTTGTGACTGTTGTACAATCAACAAATAAGTTAAGTATCAGTTAAATTCAATCGAATTATAAAAAATCAATTTTGACGTTAGGACATTTTTTAAACATTTCCCGATATGAATTGTTAGGGTACATTGTCTTAGATTGTAAAATTTTATTCAATCAAGTAAATTTTAATAGTTTTATTAACAAAAAAATATTAAATTTTAGCAGGAAGTACTTAAAAAGTTTCTTAGTGCCGAAATTGTTTTTTTCTATTCGATTTAATTTAACTGATATTTCAGATTTTGGATACGAAGTGCGATAATACGAAGAAAACGAAATACCAAATTTAATAATATGGCTTTATTTATATGAGATATGAATATAAGGAATACTTATAAGTGAGCACAAGTGATTTACCTTTTGGCTTTGTTGGATCCCAAACCACGATTGTTCTCTATACATAAATTGAGTGAATGCGGAGCTCTTACACTGCTTTTCTTGCTGCTAAAAGAAGGTCTTCCTAGGAGTTTTCTTTTGCCACACATTTTAATTTTTCACCTGGAAACGGTTGTTGGCTGAACGCTAATTTTTACTCCTCTTCTTACAATTTTAGGATGAATGTTGCCTGATTGTATTTTGATTGCTCCTTTGTACTTATATGATGTGTACAGACCTGATAATAAAGATGGTACAGAAATAGCATATTTTTTGAAATTATCCAAATGTCGATTGACAGCTGGTAAGAATTGTTCCGGATCATTTTTAAGATGCTGCAAAATTGTATTACTGTATTCCAATCATGTAGTCTTTGTTGCTTCAATATCCGAGGCCAAGTTTTTTACCACGTTTATTTCTTGCAGTGGCTCTGGTTCTATCGTAGAAGGATCCACTTCATTGGGACTAATTAATTCTGGTGTAAAACATGTCTCTATATTTCCAGGTGACTGTAGTGGACAAAATAATGTCTTTTTCGGTTCTTTGCCGGTAGCAATTTGATAAAACAATATTTTATTTTCGAGGGTTAGAGTATTTATTGTCTTTAAAATGCCAAATTTTGAAATTACTGCAGCCTGATGTTTGCAGTGTTTCCCGTTATATCCAACGGGACAACTACACATGCATGTTATCATATCTATGTGATAAATGATATCAGGCTTAGAAAAACTTACAACTTCATATTGATGATTTCCTATGTCTTTTAGGTTCGCATTTTCCACTAACTGTTTTGGCAAATATCTCTCTTGAATTGCTTTACTTTCACGTTTTAAGACAATATCAAGAATTCGTTGTTGATAATATCTTTCAAATCCAGTACATATGAAATCAGCTAATTGGGTAAGATTAAATGCCTTTGTACGTTCTAAAGGTACATCCTTCAGTAATCGGAACATTACCTCCGTATAATTATTTGTGTCTGAACCGCGCAATAACAAATTACGTCTATAAAACAAACACCAAGTCTCAATTCGCAAATACATGTTCTCTACATATTTAAGAAAGTTAAGATGTTGACATTGTTCATTTAATAATTTCTTTGCTGCATCAAGCTTATCTTTCGAGTCTGAATATAAAATATTTCGGAATAACTGGTAATAACGTTGATTGTGCGTTTTCGGAACTCCATTTTTTGCAGTAGTAAGCCAACGCCAACATGCTTTTAAGACATGAAATGTACATAAGAGCATTTTCGAACGTGGGAAACATTGCTGTAGGACGTATTTTTCCCCTAAGTCGTCATCTGTCATTATGACAGATGACAGATATATATAGCAGAGCTTGTACCGCTTCTTGAAATATTTCTTTTTTTTGTTACTACTTATAATACACCCAATCGGTAAACCTCCAACAGGAGACTGTGTGACAAAAAAATAAACTTTGTGATCCTGAACATCACAATTTCCTGTTGCGTCTACAAATATGATTTCCGACGCTTGAGGTAATTTTAAAGCTCTTTGAATTATAGGGGTACTTATTGCAATGGAATGATTTTCGCCGAGAGTACATACTTTGAACAATGTCAAATTTTTTTCATTTTCCGACATTAACACATCTTCCAACTTCTTTAACATTTCTGGGCCACTGCGCTCGCCATATTGTTGTCTGAAGTTACTAGTCCAGAGTGTTCGCACATCGGTTTTTGTCGGGAAATAATGACGATCGCTTATTTTATCGCTATACTCATCACCCAATTCTTCCATTTTCGTGGTGCAATACGTGTAATAAGCGGATGCTACAGAATGCCCTCTTTGAAATAACTCAAGTATAGCCTTTTTTGTATCTTCTCCCAAAGGTCTGGTACGTAGAGCTTCTCACACATCGGATCTATGATTGTGATTGTTCCGAAATTCTAATAAACAAGGATATTCTTTGTCGACTTTATTCAATGAATTGTTGGCTTTAGACTTGGACATAGGAATGATTTTCTTTAAAGTTAAAATTAATTTTGCTGGACAATTGATGTTTCTTGAGCTTTTTTTCTTTAAATCCTTGGTATTTTTTCTTCGTCTTGTATTGAAGTGACAATAATAAATTCGATTAAACAGATTGTTTCTTACGTTTTCCTTTTGAATTGTCTTTTCTATTGACCATGTTACTTTACTGATAGTTTGTAATTCTTCTACGAGTTTCTGAAACAAAAATCAAACATTTTCTATGTGTACTATTTTTAACCAGTGTTGACTTCTCAAGTAAAAACTGTACTGCATTTTTATTAATCTAAATTAATATCACCATCTTTTAGGTTTAATCAACACTGAACTACTTATTGTATTTTAATTAATCTTCTACGCCACTGTACTATGTGCCCCCTGTAATATTAGGTGGTATCCTCTGTATTGTTGCAAATATTTTAAACAGTATACGATAATCAAAATATTAATAGGCATGTTACTCCTAAAAGATGCGCTTTTATTTGTAATTTCATTAAGTAAGCCACTGCATTTCGCATTTTTGAAAAAAATAATAAGTTAAGGTGGTCAATTTTTTTTTATAAACAACTTACTGTTTATTATCGACTCAAACTTTCCTTATATCAAAATATCATTATTTTTTTAAATAATTTTTTACTTATTTATATACCATTTTTTAACATGAACCCCCCCTAGCGCGCCTCTGAATTGAAAGAATTAATGCATGTTTTATAACCTTACATAGTAAATTAATGACTTACGCGCCAAAACAATAGGTTTATACAATTAAACTTTTGATCGTCAAATAAACATATATTATTGAGTTCTAACATACCTCAATTTCTTCTTTATTCTTTGCACTTATCCAATAGAAGGATTGTTTAAATAATCTTGAACTGAAACTAACACTTTCCATCAATTCACTTACATCCATTTTAGCAACAATCATAAACAAAACATCCACACAGTGGTTAAGATGTTACAGCAAAAATGCTTGATATGTAACAGTCTAGATATCCGATTGAGTGCTGTCGTGCACGTCACATATGAAGCGATATTCGGCATAAGTCGACTGGATATCTCAACCGTTACATCTGAATATGATGCCTGGACCTGGACAGATCTACTGCCTGTCTCAGTGTTGCCCACTGTACGATTTAAATCGTATTTATACGATTTTTTAACTCTCTGTACGATGTACGATTGCATCACGTAAAAATACGATATTTACTTTTTTAGTAGGTTTATTTAAATATCTGCAACAACTTCAGAACATAAAAAAGTAAAAATCAAAAACTACTTGCAAAGATTCATAGGCCGTTCGTAATTTCTGAACGCAGTCATTTTTGTTCTGACTTATCGTGACAGTTATTGATTACTTTAAGTGTGTTAATTTAAAGTTTCATGTATTTTCTTTAGTTTTTTTTTCGTTGTATACATTTTTATAAATAGATAAATAAATTATCATGCCCAATTTTTTTAATTTTTTTCATTCCATTTAAGTTATTTTATGCTATTCATGTATCTATTGTACAATTTTTTTGTCGAAATACCATTTTTCTACTCTACTTGTACGATCTCTCAAAAAAACTATTTGGCAACACTGGTATCTCTAAAAAAAAAACGTAATAAATATTTTAGAAACGTGACGTGTTGGATTTTTTCATATTTTTTTTTTAAACTGGGAGCATCTCGAATGATAAGAAAAAACACTTTTCATTTCAAGGACAAAAACCATGTAAATTAGTGTAATTAATTATATTGAAAATTATTAATAGAAACATAAGACTTTTTTTTCTTAATAAGTCACACTCCCCAAGAAAAAAAGTAGTAACGGCACTGAAATAAGCACTGCTCTGTGTGTGTAGTTTTATTTGTCGACAAGTCGGAATTCCAGATGATGCTCTTCACAATCAAGATTGCCTTTTTCTGACTCTGTTACCACAAATTACAAACCGTATTTGTTGCTATAAAACTATAAGAGTCGTTGTTATACAAGATTTCTCATTTGCTCGGAAGTGATTCCGGACAACGTCGACCGACCATTTTCTACTTCTACTCCTTTCATAAACTAGGTATATGCACAAATATCTTTGAATTGTTCTTCTCTTAGAAGCGTTTATTCTACAATACAGAGCGTTTTAGACAAAATGTCGACAAAATATAAAAATTAAATTAACTTAATTGAACCTTGAATACCTATGGTACTCTGTAAAAATCGTAAGTATCAAGTAGGTACCGTCGTACGGGTATATATGAAACAAATTTTAACTATTTTTGTGTATATATATTACGCCAAGGAAAGTTTTTGAAAAAAAAACATATGATTTTGATAAAGGATTGTTTAAGAAATACATTTGCGATATACATAGGATTAAATAAGCTTTAATCTTCTTTTTTTTTTATAAAAAACCAACGTTTCATATAACCCGCTATATGGGGATATATGAAACAATTAAAAATTTTAATGGAAATGTTATGTATTCTGGCAATCGTTTCATATAGACGTGTCTATCAGCCTATATGAAACAATAAAAAAATATGGTTACGACTTGAAAATATCAAGCAAATTTCAGACTATCATCAAATTGGCTTTTTTATTGAAAAAAATTAACACCTATATTCTGGTAAAAAAATTAACAAAAAAGTGACTTTAAAGTCTATGACTAAATATAAAAAAATGAAATAGTTAAAATTAAAAAACATCGCCTGGAAATCTGTGCAATCCTCGATGTATTGCAGGCTAAGATAGCCGAAACTTAATTTCATCCAATGTCACCTGTGCCGGGTCTAAAACAGATGGAAAAACAAAACTCTCTTCTTCCCGTATGCATTCGCAAACAGTTACCTTCAATTGTTTTTTTGTTTAATTTATTAATTTGTGCGACGTATTCCTTCACACATTGTTTTTTGTGTTTTCATTATATGTAAAATCAACAACAACAAAACAACCTTCTTCAATGTCACAGGGTCCAGTAACTTCTGTTTTAAAATTTAGATGAGTTTCAATTTCTACGTTTGCATCAGTTTCTTGATATTCATCTGGTTTGTGCAAATCATCTTCAATTTGGTTGATTGTGGTCGTGAAACTGGTGGCAACTTCCAAATCGGTCGGACTTTTTCGGACTTTTTCTAGACCTTTTTCCTCATTTAGAGGTGATATTCCCGTTGCTTTAAAGCCACCTACAATATTTGCTTTAGCATTTTCATTAATGTCAATCAAAAGCTCTTTTAACAACTTAGAAAATTGTTGTTTTGGCACCACACCTCTATTTTTGTTTTTCCAATTTGTTAAAATTTTTCACCAACTAATTTTCAAGGGCCGAGAGAATGCTACATCTAGCGGTTGGCAGATGTGTGTACTATTTTTTACAAAAAAAAATGCCTACAAAAATATTTAAAAAAAATTAAAAATGTTTTGCCTTTTTTCTTGTATTTATTTGTGTCTGTGTCTCCTATAACAGACCAGCAATAATCACCTAACATGGCTTGGTCCCAGTATCCTTAATAATTTTGTTCAAAAAATTTTAAATCCTGATGAAAACGCTCTCCATGTTCGTCTCTGACTTCTCCGAGGTTTTCAGGGAAGAAATCGAGATGCGAATGAAGGAAATGAGACATGCTGACACCCATTCGTTGAAAATTATGTAATAAATCAGCAATTAACTGTCTGTAATTTTCATTTTTTTGTTACCTAAAAACTCTTTCATAACAAGTCGTAGTGAATCCCAAGCAGATCTTTCAGTATCAGTAAGACTGTTTTCAAATACCTCATCCTTCAACATTTTTATGATTTGCGGTCCGATAAATATACCTTCTTTCAGTTTCGCCGCAAAAAAATTAGGAAAAATTGAGCCCAAATGCTTAATATCTAAAGCCTTGACAACGTTTTTTACCAATCCTAATTTTATATGAAGCCGTGGTAGAACAATTTTTTGTGAACGTATTAGATATTTATGCTTTATATTCAGTTTACCAGGGCTATATTCTTTTCTAACTGGCCAATCTATCTTTTTATAATGATCTTGTTTGGCTCGCGAATCCCACAAACACAAAAAACAACAATATTTTGTATAACCACCTTGTAAGCCCAAAAGTAGACCCACAACTTTTAAATCACCGCAGACGATCTGATGGGGCATGTTCAAAAATTTTGAAATTTTTTTTATGAATAAATAAAACTACATTTTTTTTATTTTTTTTTTATCTATTCATTTGCCGGAGTTATGAATTTTTTTAAAATTTATGACGTCACCGGGAATAGACCAATAGGAGCTAGCGCACAACGTTGCCGGCTAGAAGGTTTACGAGAAGTGATGTACGTTCGTTTGTGTACTCCTTCTTAATTTTAGACTTCTAAAACATTGTTAAACAAATATCTTTTAAATACATAATATCAAATGTTTTTTGAAAGTATTATTTCTGTTTAAACTTTTACCATATTTAAAGTTTCATTGTTTTAAAAGTCACTTAATAATTCAGAAAATGGCAAAATGGCAGCATTGTGTATGGCATCTGTCATAGTGTCTCGATCAAGAATTTATTTGGAATTTGAGTGTTTAATTTTGTACTTTTTATAAATATTATGACTACGAAAAAGTGTTTTGTTCCAGAATGTGATAATGATTCACATTCATCTTCAAAAATATTTATTAGTGTTCCTAGAAATTTGGAAAGAAGAAAATCAACCTTCTACTGGCGATGTTTCTCGTGAACTTTTTAATAAAAATACACCGGATTATCAAGATGTAGTAGCAATTTCTGCGAATTGTCCCCTTCAGGAAATTGAAAATGAGGCTAATATAAATTCTTAGTTGTATAACCAAAAAACCCTTCTGGAAGAAAATGCAGAATCTCCTGAAAGTTTTGAAGATACCGAATTTATTCATCATTTTGTGGATGAACTAGTGATAAAGAAATAATAGAAAAATGTGGGTATTTAAACAAACTGGTTCCTGGATCCCATATAATGGCAGATAGGGGTTTCAGAATATTCAGCTACTTGAAAACATGGGATGCACTTTAGTGTATCACAGAATGAAAAAAGTTCTCCAGAAGATGTACAATTAAGTAAAAGAATAGCATCTCTAAGAATACATACATGTGGAAAGAGTTATAAGAAGGGTTAGTTAATTTAACATGTTAAAACCACATTCGTGTGTGAATTTTAAGCAAGTACATTTACTTAGTAATATCTGCATAATTGCTTGTTAACTTACAAGAACCTATTTTGTAAGAGTAAATATTAATTTAATAAACTTTTTTGTTTGTTTTTTAATTTAATTTACCTAATTATCACATTTCAGGGATTATAATGAGTTTTTAAACAGCCAATGTAATTTTTGATAAAAATTTAACTTTTCGAGCAAATCAAAGAGGAATGAGTACCTGTATATGCATAGATTTTTTTGGGACTAAAACTACCAAAACAAAGGCACCTATTTACAGCAGTTTAAAATGAAACATTTTAACAAAAACGCCTATGTCGTGGTGATAAATATTAAAAACAACCAAGTTCAGTTGAATGTGGTAGTAAAGTCTATATATTCCAATAAATCGGGTAACTACATGTGGTATCACTGGTGATAAATTTAAAAATATCACAATTCTTGCTACCTTTTTCAAAAAACCAGAAAGTGTGCCTTCTTATCAATCCTTTATGAAAATGACAACAGTAATAAATGTGAAAAAAAATTTTTATGTTGCTATTCGTTATTACGATAGTAAAACATGTTTGCAGTTCCATTTATTTTTTATGAAAATCTAAGTAAAAACCAATGTCAAAAGGTTATAAGTTTTTTTCTGTCAAACCAAATATATCACAAAATTAAAAATTGATCATAGGTCAAGCTAAAGTAATACCTTTATTGATAGTAGCTTTAAAAAAGGAGAAAGAATAATATTGACTTAAGTTCTTATTATTAACATTGGCGA